GGCGCGGGGTGTAACAGGCAGCCCTGACCGCTGGGCACGAGTGTAACAGGCAGCCCTGACCGCTGGGCGCGGGGTGTAACAGGCAGCGCTGGGCGCGGGGTGTAACAGGCAGCCCTGACCGCTGGGCGCGGGGTGTAACAGGCAGCCCTGACCGCTGGGCGCGGGGTGTAACAGGCAGCCCGGACCGCTGGGCGCGGGGTGTAACAGGCAGCCCTGACCGCTGGGCGCGGGGTGTAACAGGCAGCCCTGACCGCTGGGCGTGGGGTGTAACAGGCAGCCCTGACCGCTGGGCGCGGGGTGTAACAGGCAGCCCTGACCGCTGGGCGCGGGGTGTAACAGGCAGCCCTGTCCGCTGGGCGCGGGGTGTAATAGGCAGCCCTGACCGCTGGGCGCGGGGTGTAACAGGCAGCCCTGACCGCTGGGCGCGGGGTGTAACAGGCAGCCCTGACCGCTGGGCGCGGGGTGTAACAGGCAGCCCTGACCGCTGGGCACGAGTGTAACAGGCAGCCCTGACCGCTGGGCGCGGGGTGTAACAGGCAGCCCTGACCGCTGGGCGCGGGGTGTAACAGCCTGACCGCTGGGCGCGGGGTGTAACAGGCAGCCCTGACCGCTGGGCGCGGGGTGTAACAGGCAGCCCTGACCGCTGGGCGCGGGGTGTAACAGCCTGACCGCTGGGCGCGGGGTGTAACAGGCAGCCCTGACCGCTGGGCACGGGTGTAACAGGCAGCCCTGACCGCTGGGCGCGGGGTGTAACAGCCTGACCGCTGGGCGTGGGGTGTAACAGGCAGCCCTGACCGCTGGGCGCGGGGTGTAACAGGCAGCCCTGACCGCTGGGCGCGGGGTGTAACAGCCTGACCGCTGGGCGTGGGGTGTAACAGGCAGCCCTGACTGCTGGGCGCGGGGTGTAACAGCCTGACTGCTGGGCGTGGGGTGTAACAGGCAGCCCTGACTGCTGGGCGTGGGGTGTAACAGGCAGCCCTGACCGCTGGGCACGGGTGTAACAGGCAGCCCTGACCGCTGGGCGCGGGTGTAACAGGCAGCCCTGACCGCTGGGCACGGGTGTAACAGGCAGCCCTGACCGCTGGGCGCGGGGTGTAACAGCCTGACCGCTGGGCGCGGGGTGTAACAGGTAGCTGAGATCATGTCCCGGAAGCCTTTGGGTAGCAGATCGATAAACATTTGTAAGCTGTGGGTGTCGGTCCACATGGGGAGGAAACCAGGGTTGAACTTCGGCCACGCCACTCAAAGAGACTCTTCAGGTGGTGTGCAGGACTAGCCCCGTCAGAGAACGTTATTTGGTGATTATTTCTTGCTGCGTTATCATCTAAGGGAAACGGTGCCTTTGGAAGTCAAGGTGGTGTGTGCGTTCACGGGCTGACCTCTCCGCCACGGCTCAGTGCAGCCCCACCTGACAGGAGAGGCTGACACGGCAGCTGCCACTCGGGTGGCAGTGGCACCCGGTCTTTGCCCCAGTCTCGACTGAAGTCACCTTTAGTGGTGACTGTGGGAGAAAGCACTCTGGACTTTGGAATCAGACAAGCGTGGGTTTAAATTCTGGCTGTGGGGTATCTGGTGCTTTGGTTCCTGAGCTGAATAGTACGATTTGCATCCCCCAGTGGCTGAGACGGTCAGTGAGGCTGCAGGGAAGGTGAGGCACCTTCCATGTGCGCCATGTCCCAGGGCTCCGCTCCTCTCTGCTGGTCCTCGCCTGAGTCTGTGGGCAGGAGAGCTAGGATCACCTGAGTTCTCTGGAAGTGAACCTTGGGCGTTCGCATCATATGGGCAAATCTGCCAGCTCCAAAGTAGATGGAACCAATTGCCCAAAAGGCTTTGTGCCATCAGCACAATGGGGCGCACCCTCTTATTAGCCCTTAATGGCCCCAGTGGAGTAAAGTGTGTTAGTGGTGGGATTTAGCCCTGGACCCACGGCAGACAGAGGCTGGGAGGAAACTGCCAGCACCCCACGCGGGGTCTGGTCCTGTGGCAGGCCCTGGGGATGTGGACGAGGACCGCTGTCCTTGACGCCCTGGGCCCAGGCAGGGCGTGCTCCAGCTCTGGACAGGTGCCGTGGCCCGTGGCCCGTGCCCCGCAGTCCCAGAGCCGCCACCATGGTGAAGTAGGCGCTGTAGCTTGGTGCCCCCAGAAGATGAGGGCAAGCCCCTGGTTGTGGCTCCAGTGTTTTAAAACACAGTTGAGAAAAAGAAAATCTGTGTTACAGAGAATCTAGATAATCCCTTGCATTTTGCACTGGTAAAATTTTGTATTATTAAGCATCCAAATTAATGTAGAAAAAGAGATACATTTGGTGAGTTCATTCCTTTCCACTCCATCCTCCTCCTCTTTGTTTTCTAAAGGGAGAGCGATGTACCTGGTGCTTGTGGGAAATACCTTCCAGGGAGGCCCCGCTGTGGGGCAGATCCCACCTGCCTCAGCGCCGTGTCAAGCCTTCTTGAATTAGCTCTTGGATAAAGGCCTCCTGCAGTCCTAGTGACCTTGTAGCTGACCGTGCTTGTCTGAGTGTGTGTTTTGCACAGAAGTGTTTGCTTTTCTGATGAGTTTAGATCACAGCTTGTACTGGAGGCCTGATTTGAAGTGCTTGTCCTTAAAAGAGGTTTTGAATAAGCGGGTAACCCACACTGCACACAGATGGGAGACTTCACTTAAACCCAAAAAGGGGTAAGGTTTTAATCAGTTCTTTTCTTTTTATTATCCTCACTCGAGGACATCTCTCCATTTTTTGTTCAGATAGAGTGGGAGAGGGAAGGAGGGAGAGAGGGAGGGAGGGAGGGAGAGAGAGAGAGAAACATCGACGTGAAAGGGACACATCAAATGACTGCCTCCCGCATGACCCAACCAGGGCCGGGGACAAACCGCAACTGAGGTACGTGCCCTTAGCGGGAACCGAACCCGGGTCTGTCCGGACCGCAGGCCAATGCTCTAACCACGGAACACACTGGCCAGGGCTGTGTTTTTTCTTTTTAAGGTGTAAGCTTAGTACATTGATAGATTGCAAGTGAAATGCTTTTTTCAAGGAAAACAGTGCAACCTTTGTTTTTCACACTTGAGTCCCAGGTAGCCATCAGCACCTTTAAATGAACTTAAAAGGGTGTCACTTAAATTGACGCTCCTTCATGAGTTCAGATCCTGCTCTTTCCATCCCTCTTTTCCGCCTTGCCCACCAGTATCTAAGGACCAGGCCAGAGATCTAGGCCACTGTTCTTTTGCTTTGGGCTGGTGGACCCGTGGCTCTCAGTAGTTTGCTGTGGGTGTGGTGGATGGAGCGTTTTGAAGGCCTGTGTTCCGAATACTGCAGCCTCCCTGAGAAACGTGTCGTGTGCAAAAGTGGGTGTTTATGTCTTCGGCAGGTTGGGAGGTTTGAACACAGCGCTCTCGAGAGCACAGTGCAGAGGGAGACCCGTGTGGGGACAGCCCAGAGAGCTTGGGCTTGGGGAATTGGACATCTAGCAAATTCACTTTTCAATTAAAAATTTAAAAGTATAACTTACGTCTAAAGGAACCATTGAATGTAGCAGTATGGAGGCTGTGTTTATTGGGTGTTTTTTCCAGTAAGTGGCATATGTAAAACCATAGGTGAGAAATGCGAATCCTTGGTCACGATGGGAGTCCAGATACCCAACTCCCATTTCAAAAGAACCTGTCATCTGTTGTAAACACTTAGCAGAAGGAAGGGTGTGGTCATCCTGGGGTACATTTAGCAGCTTGCCCAGAAAGTCTTCCCATTGTGTTATGTTATCACCTTTCTCTTGCATTAAGTCATATTTTTTCATGAAAATCATGTGCACCCTTTAAAATGATGCTAGAGAATACATAAAGAGGATGAAGTTTTTTTTTTGTTTTTTTTTTATCCTCACCTGAGGACATTTTTCCATTTATCTTCAGATAGAGCAGGAGAGAGAGAGGGGGAAAGAGAGAGAGAGAAACACAATGTGAGAGAGACACATCGACTGCCTGCCACCCACACAACCCCAACCAGGGCCAGGACAAACTGCAACCGAGGTACGTGCCCTTAGCGGGAACCGAACCCTGGTCTCTCTGGTCCATGGGCCGATGCTCTAACTGCTGAGCCAAACCGGCCAGGGCGAGGATGAAGTTTTTAATAAAAATTTATGAACTTGTCTTATAACATTTTTATGATAGTCCTACTTGAATTATCTTTCTCTATTTGACTAAAATAGAATTCGATTTTTCTATGGGGTATTTAACGTTTGGGTCCTAATCAAGCAAGGGGTGAATTAATCGATCTCTCTTGAGTGAGCTGTCAGGACAGATGCCCCCTGGGTTTGAAATGTAATTGAACATGTCAGTGAACTCACTTGGAGGTCCACAGACCTTCAGGGTCCCCTGGAAAGTGAGAGGCAGGAACGGAAAGTACTTGAGGGGACAGCAGGCTCCACGCTGGGAGGGAGAGGGCTGCATCACTGCCGGCTTCGGCCCCACTTCCTGGTGTTTGGGATGTTATCCTGCAGGGTGTTTTTGGCACGAGGCTGTGGGTCCGGTAGGTGGCCTCTCTCTGACCAGTGGAAGAGGCTCCACAACAGGGACAAGTCTGTAAATACCTTCAGTGCTCTCTCCAACCGGTCTCCCTTAATTAGGCCTGCAGACTTGCTTCCTTCCCACTTGGCCGCCTCCCTTTGGTTTCCGGCAGACTTCGAAGGGGCGGGTGGGGAGCGGCGAGGTAGGAAGTCTGAAGAGACTTGGGGACTTCGGGTCTCTGGTTTATGGCCTGCTGGCCCCACTCTCCGTCCCTTTTCCCCACAGTGTGTGGTGGCCTCCCTGACCGAGGCCTTGGGGCTGGTCTGGGGCTAGATGGTGAGAGGTGGGAGCGTTTTGTTTGGGTAGAGATGTCAGTAGATACAAAGCAGCTTTTTTCCTGAGGTTTATCAAAATACGTATTTCAGGCAAATAAACGGTATTTCTCAAGCAGTTACTAAAACCAAACAAGCAGGAGTCCTAACATATGATTATGGGTTTCTTTTCAGATTTTCTATGTTCCTTTTCTACAAGAGAGTTCCCAGGCCGAGATGCCCTGTTGAGATCGGAGCTGGACTCGAGAGCTGGGAGAATTCCTGCAGCATCGTCACCGCGGCGGTGTGACCAGCTGAGACGGTCACCTTGGGAGCGGTTCCGTTTCGGCATCTTGCGTCGCTGAGCCCAAAGGTAAGACCACGGTTTTCTGCTTTAACACTGGTGGGAGCAGTCGCTGCTTTCGCCTGAAATACTAAAGCTGCACAATAGGTTGTACATTAGTAAAGTGGCAATAAATGCAGCCCTGCTTTGTTGAGCTGTATTATACCTTCGTTCTCAGGGGACTTGATTGAGAAGTCGCGTTCACTGTCCCTGCTTTAGGGTGTGATGCCGTGAGTAGCTAGGAAGCAGGCGCCAGCAACTCCCACCTGTAAAACACCCTCATGCTCAGCTCTTCAGTCCAACAGGCAGTTCTTGCATCTGTACAGGTCGAGGCGTCTTGGGTGTGGCATTGGGAGCCCCAAGATAGAACTGCCTTTGGGACACTTTCAGTCTGGCAGAGTTTTCATTCCAACTTTGATGCTGGGAAGAGAAGTCTACATCGAAAGATGCTGACAGGCCCGGCCAGTGTGGCTAGGTGGATGGAGTGTCATCCCAGGACTGAGAGGTCCCGGTTCGATTCCCGGTCAGGGCACATGCCCGGGTTACGGGCTCGATCCCCAGTACGGGGAATGCAGGAGGCAGCTGACCGATGTTTCCCTCTCACATCAATGTTTCTATCTCTCCCTTCCTCTCTCTCTAAAATAACAATAAAAACATTTTTTTTAAAAAAAGAATGCCAACAGATAAAGGATTCTGAGGAAAGTTACCTGTTTGTATAAGAAACCTACTTGTACATGTTAAGATAAAACCACATCTATAATACAGCGTGTGGATTCTGAGATCCAGGGTCCCAATAATAGCAGGTACTAGACAGTGTCATACCCTGGATAACAGGGATTTCTTAGCCCTAACAGGCTGTTTGGGACATTCGGTTCAGGCTGTGAGGGGTGCTGGGCAGTGGTCTGGCTGATGTGGGGTTCCGCCTCTGGGCTCTGGCCGGCAGTAAGAAGCTTCCGGCGAGGTGGCTTCACCTCCTGATCAGCGTCTCACCACGGTAGGGTGACACCCAAATCATGAGCTTTCCTTCAAAACCTTGTTTACTTCTGTTGTTCACATATTATTTTAAATTATTCTGGAATCTATAACTTTGGACTATAAAATCTCTTTTTTATGATTTCTATAAATTAGAATTTTCTTTTATTTGGTCTAAAGCTACTATAAAAATTTTTGTCAGTGGGTTTTTTCTCCATGAACATTTTATTTTGGGGAGGGTGAATCTTTTTTGTTTTTATCCTCACCCGAGGACATTTTTCAATATTTTGTTCAGATAGAGTGGAAGGGAGGGAGAGAGAAAGAAACATCGACGTGAAAGGGACACATCGAGTGGCTGCCACCCACATGACTCAACCAGGGCCGGGGACAAACTGCAACCGAGGTACGTGCCCTTAGTGGGAACCAAACCCAGGTCTCTCCGGACCGCAGGCCGACGCTCTAACACGGACCCAAACCGGCCAGGGCGGGTGGGTGTTCCTTAGTTTCACTCATGTCCCCTCTGATGTGTGCTAAGCAGAACGGCACGGAACTAATATGTAGCATTTCATAAGGGTAGGGTTCAGTGCCTGGATGTCTTCACCTCATTAACCTTTATGATTCTTTTGCAGAAAATGACACATTGTCCTGGTTGTGTAGGGTGCTGTCTGCCATGATTTCCAGGTCTGGGCCCTGGTCTGGAAGCAGAGCTTGGCACTGCTGTGATCCAGCCTGATTCCAGGCCCCTCCTGCTTGTCCCTGTCCCCGCGCTGTCTCCCAGCCCTCCTCTCTCAGGACGTTGTTGGTCTCACTAGCATGACCCCTGTCCTCCCTACTGACCGGGAGCTCCCAGCTCTCTCTCCCAGACCTTACGTGGTGGTTCACATCCAGGCCGAGATCCCCCTTACATTAAAACAACAACAACAACAGAACCTCTGGCCTGTGGGGACGCCGTTCTTCTAATAGTCACTGCAGAGGAACCTCTTAAAGCTTAGTCATTTATAAACGCAGTCTCGTATTTTGTGGCAATATAAGCTAGAAGTTAGTGCAAATCCTCAAATCTCTGTACCGCAGGCCAATGCTCCAACCGCTGAGCCAAACCGGCCAGGGCAAATCCTCAAATCTGATCATCAGAATTCATTAGTAATTCATCAGTAACGGACTCTGACACTACTTTAGAAGGTGCTTCATCTCAGTGGCTCTGACAGACTGGGCGTTGTTGTCGGGGTCCCTCCAGAGTGTGAGGCAGGGCGGCATCTTCTGCACAAGCGCCAGCCGGTCTGTTCCTACTCTGCAGACAAGGGGCGGCCTGCGGAGCCGTGCGTACATTGTCGTGAGGCCATGCTTACAAAAGTACTTATACCTGTATAATGTTAAAGAATTGGCATTTTACACGTCGATGAGATCCACACCAAAATCCTTGATCCACTTGTTAAAAATTACTTCTGTGGTTTAGGAAAATGTTCAGTGGGAAATCATTAGCTTTGTTCATTGATATAATAAATATGTATTGTGAGCACCCACTGAATTCTGGGCTATTTTTCTTGCAGTGACTGTTTTAGCAGCTACAAAAATAGATAAAATACAGTTCTAGACGCTGTTTGTCATGACGCCTCGTGGGGTGGGCCGGACCCTGACGGCTGAGCCCTCTGGCAGCTGCTGTAGTTGGTGTCCGTATCCGAGGCCTAGTGCCCGAGGCAGGCTGACCTGACCCTGGGGGGGTCTGGAAACGCCAGGTGCTGTGTTTTAAGTGGCTGTTGAAGAAGGAGGGGATGTGGGTCCTTCTTGGCATTGGCAGGCTGGTGGGTCAGCTGGGCGATAGGCCTGAGAGTCCCCAAGTCATTTCAGCAGCAGTGGGTCTCAGACCAGGCACGTGCTTTGGCTGGTGGTCTCTGAGGAGCCAGCAGGAAAGTCTGGGAAGGAAGGACCGCGGCGCTGCCCTGGTGAAGCGGGGGCGGCACGTCCGCCCGGAAGCTCCCGTTAGCGGTGCTCCAGGCTCCTGCTCTCCTGGCCGGACCCACACCTGGGGCCCCGCTGAGCGAAGTGGTTTGAATGTGGGGACGTCAAAGCGGTGTCTCAGGGGCCTTGTGGGGTCCCTGCGCCCTTGCTTTCCCGCCCCCACTCTCCTCTCCTGCAGGAGCCTCCCCGCCCCAGTCCTCCGAAGACCCTGGCCCTGCCCCGTGCCCATCGGGGTGCAGACGATGGGAAGAGCGGGGCGCAGATCTTGCTTTCACTGGGACTGTTAACAGACGGGTCTTCCGCACGCACCTCTGCCCACGTGTGATTGAAGATGGACGGGAGTCGCTGTTGTCAGAGGCTGGCTGGCGCCCCGGCCGAGGGAGCCCGTGGAGAGCAGCGTGCGCCACGCCCGAGATTTCTTCCTTCCGAGCTGCCTGGAGACTTTTCCAGGAGAGAGGCCTGGTGCGCAGAGGGTGTTGGTGTTGTGGGGGAGGACAGGCGGTGGCGTAGGTGACGGGACTCCTGCGAGTGAGCTAAGGAAGACCTGGATTTCACACACTGTCGGATGCTGGGGTGAATATCCAGAGTGGAGACGTTGGCAGGAGGCCACATGGATCGTCTTTTAAAGTTTTACTGACGGATAACTGACAGTGAAACTGTAAGATACCTAAAGTGTGCATCGTGGAGACTTGGTGCGTGCATACATTAAGAGGAAATTTCCACCATTTCCACCATCTGGTTATTAGCACACCGTCACCTTGCCTCTGTCCTTTAGTTTGTGAGAACATCGAAGTTCTGCTCAGCGGTGCTGACAACTACAGTCACTGTGCTCTGGGGTCCTCGGGGCCACTCATCGTAGCTGGAGGTCTGCACCCCCTCACCAACCTCTCCCTACTGCCCCGCACTCCGGCCCTGGAACCACTACACTGTTCTGTTTCTACGAGTTTGGCTTTTTATTTTTTAGATTTCACAGATAAGTGATAGTATGCAGTACTTATCTTTCTCTGTCTGGCTTATTTTCATAGGATGATGCCCTCAAGGTTCGTCCATGTTGTAGAAAATGGCAAGATGTCCTTCCTTGTGGCTGAGTAACACTCATGCATGTGCGTGCACATATATCACATCCTTGCACACACATATATGTGTATGTACATATGTACATACACACAGTCCATCTTCATTCACTCTTCCAGTGTTGCACACCTAGGTTCTGCGCCTTGGCTGTTGCAAACACGCTGCCATTTACTTCAGATACATAACCAGGAGTGGCATTGCTGGGTCCTGTGCTAGTTCTAGTTTTAATTTTTTTTTTATCCTCATCCAAGGATTTTTTTTTTGCATTTATCTTTAGATAGAGCGGGAGGGAGAGAGGGAGGAAGAGAGAGAGAGAGAAACATCGGTGTGAGAGAGTCGCACCAAGTGGCTGCCACCCACATGACCCCAACCAGGGCCGAGGACAAACTGCAACTGAGGTACGTGCCCTTAGCGGGAACCGAACCTGGATCTCTCCGGTCCACGGGCCGTCGCTCTAACCACTGAGCCAAACCAGCCAGGGCAATGTTTAATTTTTAAAGGAACCTCCATACTGTATTCCATGGTGTCTGCACCAGTTTACATTCCCACCGACAGTGCACTAAGGTTCTCCCCTCTCTACATTCTCACCACACCTACCTCTTGTATGTTTCATGGTAGCCACTGTAACGGGTGCGAGGGGACATCTCCCTGCGGTTTTGCTTTGCGTTTCCCTGATGAGTAGTGACGCTGGGCATCTTTTCATGTACCTGTTGGCCTTTTGTGTGTCTTTTTTAGAAAAATGTCTGTTCCGATGCTCTGGGTTGTTTGGATTTTTGCTGAATTGTAGGAGTCCTTTATGTATGTTGGATATTAACCCCTTGCCAGATACATGATGTGCAAGGATTTTCTCCTGTTTTATAGGTTGCCATTTCATTTTGTTGGTAGTTTTTTGCTGTGCAGAAGCTCTTTGGTTTGACGTAGCCCATTTGTTTCTTTTTGCTTTTGTTGCCTTTGCTTTTGGGTGTCATATCCAAAAACATCATCCCCAAGACCTGTGCCAAGGAGTTTTCTTCTAGGAGTTTACGGTG